ATACAGATACAGATACAGATACAGATACAGATACAGATACAGATACAGATACAGATACAGATACAGATACAGATACAGATACAAAAAAAATTACAAGAACCCCCTCAATTATTAGTAAAGAAAAAGAAATAGCAGCCGCTAAACTCCTTGACGCAGTTAATGAAATAGCAGAAAGAGGAGGTGCTGTTGCTTTCGGAGACGAAATTGATAATGTTAAAAGAAGATGTGATAAATATGAAAAAAAAGCCGCAGCGGCCGGACAAACACCCAAAGAATACAAAAATTACATAATTAAACTATTAGAGGAAGCAATTCAAAAAAATGATAATTTAGTATCTCTTATAAAAATAAAAGAGGAACGCCAGGCCAACGATCGAGAAAAATCACGAATAGTAGACGGGATTAAAGATAAAAAAATAGAAGAGCTGGAAAGAGAGAATAAAGAAAAGGAATTAAGACTAAAAGAGGCGTATAGAAAAGACCGCAATCTGGAAAAAAAGCATAAGAGGTGGGGCAGTGGTTTTTCTATCGATTTATCAACGGGAAACAACACCCCATCAGATAGACCAAGCACTCCAACCACACCAAGCCCAATCCAAAAAGACAGCCCGACAATGGATTATGTTGAAGATGCTGTAAGAGGTCTGAGAAAGAAGCACGAGGATGAAAAAGCCGGTTTAACCAAAGAATACGAGGAACAAATACGGGCATTAAGAGAGAAATTAGAGGAGGCGAATGCTAAAAATGAGAGGTTGAATAGCGTTGTGGAAGTTGACCCTGACGATTACGAAAATTTACTAAATGAAAGAGATGGGTATGTTGATAAAGTTAGCAATTTGGAAATACAAATAGAAGTATTACAAGAGAAGTTGGACGAATTGAAAAGAGGGGCAGTTGCGAATGATCCGCACCCCGAGGAAGAAGAAAAAAAATGTAATCTTATTAAGGACCACCATAAAGAATTAGAGGCCGAAATTGAGGAGTTAAAAGAGGAATTGAGCGAAAAAGAAGTTAAAATTGTTGCGTTGGAGGATAGAATTAATGAGTTGGAAAATGCTAACAATAATAACGAACAGAATAAACAAGAAATAACGGACGAAAAAACGACCCATGAAAAAATCCATGGCAAAGCCGAAAAAGATTATTTCAAATCGGGTGAATGATTGGTAGCAGACGAAATTGATTGAGCCTACAAAAGAATATGAGATGATTTAACTTCGCCCGAATCTGGTAAATTTGACCTTGACCTGGCCGGAAAAATAGGAGAAAGAGGACTAGTTGATCCATATGCCTTTTACTGAGCGAGAAAAAGCCAAAAAAGTGAGGACAAGACCAAGTTTGCTGAATTATTAAATTTGTTGAATGAGGCAAAAGAAAATAACAAAACAGTATTCATTCCAGTCAACAACGCGAACAGCCCCGATGACGATGGAACACATTGGAGTTTGTTGGTCTATGAAAGCAAAAAATTCTATCATTTTGACAGCAGCGGAGGAACGAATTACGAGTATGTTGAGGACACAGTTAAAGAATTATTAAAACAATTGGGAACAAAAGAAGAATGAGCACCAGAAAAATATTTGGATAGAGCGATTGTAAAAGAGCATGACATTAATCAAGGAGATGGTTATAATTGCGGCGTGGCGGTCATTGCTTTTACGGAAAGAATTATCGCCAACGGCGAAAAGTGAGATCACAAATATGATAAGGATAAATTAAATGATTTAAACTATAATTTTGACCGAGAAAGAAAAAATTGACGGCGTCGTTTAAAAAAAGAGTTGGGATTAAAGTCTGCGAACACCAGCAAAGAAATGGGGGCAGACCACCAAGCGGAAGTTGACAATAAAGCAGGCAAAGTAAAGAAGACTCATAATGGATCCCAAGAGGAATTAGCCAAAGCACAAAAATTTTTAGAGGATCACATAAAGAGACAAGCAACTACGCCACAGGGAGGAACGAATGACATAGAAACCAAAGATAAGGGGAACGAACAAACATCTACTGACGCCGGGAGCAGCAGAAGTCCCACCTCTCCAACATTTAAAGTAAACGAGATAGAAACCGAGGACGATTTGGCGGGCACTACAAATGAAAAAATTGATAAACTTCAAAAGGAGAACCGGGAAAAGGACGGAATTATTGATAAATTAACCAAAGAAAGAGACGAATACAGCAAACGACTAACAAAGGACCAATTAAATAAGTTAGCAGAAAATATTGTAAAAGGGGGCGGTTATGTCCTAGAAACCGATTATCAGGGCTGAATTAACCCCAACGATGAAAATGCCCGTCAGAAAAACGGACTAAAAACGGAGGCGGAAGTAAATAAAGCGGTTGACAATGCTTGTCAGCAAGAGGCCGATAAATATAAAAATCATATTGACCCGACCAATAAAGACAAATTGAAAAATGCCGCCAAGGAGGCTGGTTTCGGTTTTGAAAAGAAAGACATTGATAATGCTGTTAAGGACGAGCGAGCAAAATGAGATGGCTATGTGGACCCAACTACACACCGAGCCGACTGGATTAATCCCAACAATTTGGAGCGGGAAGCCGAAAAAGCCGGCTGGAAGTATACGCAAAACAATTTAGACACAGCGGTAAATAATGAAAAAGACAAATATAATGGTTGAGTTGACCCCACTACTTACCGGACGGATTGAATTGACCCCAGCGAATTGGAAAATAAAGCCAAAGAAAGGGGTATGGTTTCAAAGAAAGATTATGATAATGTATTAAATGGAAAGAAAAAGGTGGAGGAGGAATTGTCTGTTGAAAAGAAAAGCCGCGAGGGAATTGAAAAACAGTTAGCCGCCGCTGTCAAAGAAAGTGTTGAATTATCAACAAAATCAGCCGAAGCCGAGCAAAACAAAAATAGAAGTGATAAAGCAGCAAAAGAAAATTATCAACGAGAATTAGCCAACAAGGAGGCAGAAAGACAAGCCGAAAAGGAAAAATTTGAAGAAGATTTAAAAGACAAACAGCAGACCATTGATAGATTAAGTAAAATTGTAGGTGAAAATACAATAACAGCGAAAGATTTGGAATTAGCCCAACAGCAAGTAAAGATTTTAAGCGACGGGTTAGGACGAGAGAGAACCGAGCATGCCGCTACTCAACGAGCATTAGAGGAAACTCAAAAGGGGTTGAATGCCGCCCAAACCGAACGGGATAAACGACCAAATATTACTAACGAACAGTGAACTAAAATGCAGGGTGATTTAACGACCGCTCAACAAGCATTAGAGGGCGAGCAAAAGGCCCGCCAAAGTGCGGAAACCGAACGCAACGATTACCGCAGGAAGCATGAAGCCGAGCAAACGCAGCACAGGGAAACTAAAAGACTATTAACCACTGCCAGAGAAGCCCGCGACCATTACCAAGCTGAGTATTACAAAGAGAAAGAAAACCATGAAAGTGCTCAAAAAGAATTATACGAAGTCAAAATTGAACTGAGAACAGAAAAAGAGCAACATGCTGATACAGAAAAGCAACTGGAAAATAAGACGGCAGAATTAGCGAATGAAAAGAAAAAAAAAGAAGCATTTTTGACAAAAGCCCATGAATTAGGAGTCCAGTTAACGACAGCAGAAACAGAACGAGACGCGGCCAACACCGACAAACAAAACGCCCAGCAAGAAAGAGAAAACCGCCCAGATATAACGCTGGATGAATGAAATAATGACTACTCCCAAAGACCAACCGCCAAGCAATTGACCGAGCAAACTGCCCAAGTTGATAATCTAAATAAAGAAAAAGAGAAACTCCAAGACAATTTAAAAAAGGCTGAAAATGAAATAAAAGAATGAGAACGAGCAGCAAAAATATTTTTAGCGAATTTTGAGACCCTAGAAGACCAAAATAAAGATCTTCAAGAATACGTATCCATTACTCGTGCCTTGGAAGACAACCGAAAGGAGCGAGTTGATGAATTGTTAAGCCACGTAAGTTGATATGGTACTGAATGACAAAAAGCCCATCGACTAAGTAGGATTTTCCGATTTTTTACGGTCAGTTTCACCAGCAAAATTAAAGAGTTAGAAAAGGCTAATTTTATTAGACAGAAAAAAATTCAGAAATACCAGAGAGTATTAGGAAATAAGAAAACTGAATTAGAAAAGAAAATAAATGGTTTGGAGAAAGCAAACGCCGATTTGGCAGAAAACCGAGAAGCCGCAGCCGAAGAGATAAAAATATTGGAATATTTGCTACAATTGGCCGAACAGAACAGAGGCAAAGACCAGGATAAGGTAAAAGAATTGAAAGACCAACTTTCAGAATTAAAAACTGCTCTAAACGAACGACCAACGGCCGAACAGTTAGCCATCCTCCAAACAAAATATCAGAAAATTGTTGACAAATTACAAGAAGTAAATGAGAAATTAAAAGAAGTCAACAGGAATAATTCTGCGGCCTCAGAGGAAAACAAAGAATTAATCAAAAACCTCGCCCGGCGGGAAAGATTAAATGAAAGACAAAACGCAACCATAACGGAATTGAAAAATCAATTAAAAGAGGTTAAAAAAGAAGCAGCGAAATCCGTCCAGGAAATTAACAAAATAGAAGCCAAATTAGTAGCGGTTAATAAATTATCCGAACAAGACAAAAAAACGATCCAAGAATTAAGAGATAAGTATAATAAATCAGAAGCCGAAGTGCGTTTTTCTCGATGAGAAGCAGAATTATTCCTGTTGACTTCTTTTAATTTCTCATTTACTTCTTGTAATTTGTCAACAATTTTCTGATATTTTGTTTGGAGGATGGCTAACTGTTCGGCCGTTGGTCGTTCGTTTAGAGCAGTTTTTAATTCTGAAAGTTGGTCTTTCAATTCTTTTACCTTATCCTGGTCTTTGCCTCTGTTCTGTTCGGCCAATTGTAGCAAATATTCCAATATTTTTATCTCTTCGGCTGCGGCTTCTCGGTTTTCTGCCAAATCGGCGTTTGCTTTCTCCAAACCATTTATTTTCTTTTCTAATTCAGTTTTCTTATTTCCTAATACTCTCTGGTATTTCTGAATTTTTTTCTGTCTAATAAAATTAGCCTTTTCTAACTCTTTAATTTTGCTGGTGAAACTGACCGTAAAAAATCGGAAAATCCTACTTAGTCGATGGGCTTTTTGTCATTCAGTACCATATCAACTTACGTGGCTTAACAATTCATCAACTCGCTCCTTTCGGTTGTCTTCCAAGGCACGAGTAATGGATACGTATTCTTGAAGATCTTTATTTTGGTCTTCTAGGGTCTCAAAATTCGCTAAAAATATTTTTGCTGCTCGTTCTCATTCTTTTATTTCATTTTCAGCCTTTTTTAAATTGTCTTGGAGTTTCTCTTTTTCTTTATTTAGATTATCAACTTGGGCAGTTTGCTCGGTCAATTGCTTGGCGGTTGGTCTTTGGGAGTAGTCATTATTTCATTCATCCAGCGTTATATCTGGGCGGTTTTCTCTTTCTTGCTGGGCGTTTTGTTTGTCGGTGTTGGCCGCGTCTCGTTCTGTTTCTGCTGTCGTTAACTGGACTCCTAATTCATGGGCTTTTGTCAAAAATGCTTCTTTTTTTTTCTTTTCATTCGCTAATTCTGCCGTCTTATTTTCCAGTTGCTTTTCTGTATCAGCATGTTGCTCTTTTTCTGTTCTCAGTTCAATTTTGACTTCGTATAATTCTTTTTGAGCACTTTCATGGTTTTCTTTCTCTTTGTAATACTCAGCTTGGTAATGGTCGCGGGCTTCTCTGGCAGTGGTTAATAGTCTTTTAGTTTCCCTGTGCTGCGTTTGCTCGGCTTCATGCTTCCTGCGGTAATCGTTGCGTTCGGTTTCCGCACTTTGGCGGGCCTTTTGCTCGCCCTCTAATGCTTGTTGAGCGGTCGTTAAATCACCCTGCATTTTAGTTCACTGTTCGTTAGTAATATTTGGTCGTTTATCCCGTTCGGTTTGGGCGGCATTCAACCCCTTTTGAGTTTCCTCTAATGCTCGTTGAGTAGCGGCATGCTCGGTTCTCTCTCGTCCTAACCCGTCGCTTAAAATCTTTACTTGCTGTTGGGCTAATTCCAAATCTTTCGCTGTTATTGTATTTTCACCTACAATTTTACTTAATCTATCAATGGTCTGCTGTTTGTCTTTTAAATCTTCTTCAAATTTTTCCTTTTCGGCTTGTCTTTCTGCCTCCTTGTTGGCTAATTCTCGTTGATAATTTTCTTTTGCTGCTTTATCACTTCTATTTTTGTTTTGCTCGGCTTCGGCTGATTTTGTTGATAATTCAACACTTTCTTTGACAGCGGCGGCTAACTGTTTTTCAATTCCCTCGCGGCTTTTCTTTTCAACAGACAATTCCTCCTCCACCTTTTTCTTTCCATTTAATACATTATCATAATCTTTCTTTGAAACCATACCCCTTTCTTTGGCTTTATTTTCCAATTCGCTGGGGTCAATTCAATCCGTCCGGTAAGTAGTGGGGTCAACTCAACCATTATATTTGTCTTTTTCATTATTTACCGCTGTGTCTAAATTGTTTTGCGTATACTTCCAGCCGGCTTTTTCGGCTTCCCGCTCCAAATTGTTGGGATTAATCCAGTCGGCTCGGTGTGTAGTTGGGTCCACATAGCCATCTCATTTTGCTCGCTCGTCCTTAACAGCATTATCAATGTCTTTCTTTTCAAAACCGAAACCAGCCTCCTTGGCGGCATTTTTCAATTTGTCTTTATTGGTCGGGTCAATATGATTTTTATATTTATCGGCCTCTTGCTGACAAGCATTGTCAACCGCTTTATTTACTTCCGCCTCCGTTTTTAGTCCGTTTTTCTGACGGGCATTTTCATCGTTGGGGTTAATTCAGCCCTGATAATCGGTTTCTAGGACATAACCGCCCCCTTTTACAATATTTTCTGCTAACTTATTTAATTGGTCCTTTGTTAGTCGTTTGCTGTATTCGTCTCTTTCTTTGGTTAATTTATCAATAATTCCGTCCTTTTCCCGGTTCTCCTTTTGAAGTTTATCAATTTTTTCATTTGTAGTGCCCGCCAAATCGTCCTCGGTTTCTATCTCGTTTACTTTAAATGTTGGAGAGGTGGGACTTCTGCTGCTCCCGGCGTCAGTAGATGTTTGTTCGTTCCCCTTATCTTTGGTTTCTATGTCATTCGTTCCTCCCTGTGGCGTAGTTGCTTGTCTCTTTATGTGATCCTCTAAAAATTTTTGTGCTTTGGCTAATTCCTCTTGGGATCCATTATGAGTCTTCTTTACTTTGCCTGCTTTATTGTCAACTTCCGCTTGGTGGTCTGCCCCCATTTCTTTGCTGGTGTTCGCAGACTTTAATCCCAACTCTTTTTTTAAACGACGCCGTCAATTTTTTCTTTCTCGGTCAAAATTATAGTTTAAATCATTTAATTTATCCTTATCATATTTGTGATCTCACTTTTCGCCGTTGGCGATAATTCTTTCCGTAAAAGCAATGACCGCCACGCCGCAATTATAACCATCTCCTTGATTAATGTCATGCTCTTTTACAATCGCTCTATCCAAATATTTTTCTGGTGCTCATTCTTCTTTTGTTCCCAATTGTTTTAATAATTCTTTAACTGTGTCCTCAACATACTCGTAATTCGTTCCTCCGCTGCTGTCAAAATGATAGAATTTTTTGCTTTCATAGACCAACAAACTCCAATGTGTTCCATCGTCATCGGGGCTGTTCGCGTTGTTGACTGGAATGAATACTGTTTTGTTATTTTCTTTTGCCTCATTCAACAAATTTAATAATTCAGCAAACTTGGTCTTGTCCTCACTTTTTTGGCTTTTTCTCGCTCAGTAAAAGGCATATGGATCAACTAGTCCTCTTTCTCCTATTTTTCCGGCCAGGTCAAGGTCAAATTTACCAGATTCGGGCGAAGTTAAATCATCTCATATTCTTTTGTAGGCTCAATCAATTTCGTCTGCTACCAATCATTCACCCGATTTGAAATAATCTTTTTCGGCTTTGCCATGGATTTTTTCATGGGTCGTTTTTTCGTCCGTTATTTCTTGTTTATTCTGTTCGTTATTATTGTTAGCATTTTCCAACTCATTAATTCTATCCTCCAACGCAACAATTTTAACTTCTTTTTCGCTCAATTCCTCTTTTAACTCCTCAATTTCGGCCTCTAATTCTTTATGGTGGTCCTTAATAAGATTACATTTTTTTTCTTCTTCCTCGGGGTGCGGATCATTCGCAACTGCCCCTCTTTTCAATTCGTCCAACTTCTCTTGTAATACTTCTATTTGTATTTCCAAATTGCTAACTTTATCAACATACCCATCTCTTTCATTTAGTAAATTTTCGTAATCGTCAGGGTCAACTTCCACAACGCTATTCAACCTCTCATTTTTAGCATTCGCCTCCTCTAATTTCTCTCTTAATGCCCGTATTTGTTCCTCGTATTCTTTGGTTAAACCGGCTTTTTCATCCTCGTGCTTCTTTCTCAGACCTCTTACAGCATCTTCAACATAATCCATTGTCGGGCTGTCTTTTTGGATTGGGCTTGGTGTGGTTGGAGTGCTTGGTCTATCTGATGGGGTGTTGTTTCCCGTTGATAAATCGATAGAAAAACCACTGCCCCACCTCTTATGCTTTTTTTCCAGATTGCGGTCTTTTCTATACGCCTCTTTTAGTCTTAATTCCTTTTCTTTATTCTCTCTTTCCAGCTCTTCTATTTTTTTATCTTTAATCCCGTCTACTATTCGTGATTTTTCTCGATCGTTGGCCTGGCGTTCCTCTTTTATTTTTATAAGAGATACTAAATTATCATTTTTTTGAATTGCTTCCTCTAATAGTTTAATTATGTAATTTTTGTATTCTTTGGGTGTTTGTCCGGCCGCTGCGGCTTTTTTTTCATATTTATCACATCTTCTTTTAACATTATCAATTTCGTCTCCGAAAGCAACAGCACCTCCTCTTTCTGCTATTTCATTAACTGCGTCAAGGAGTTTAGCGGCTGCTATTTCTTTTTCTTTACTAATAATTGAGGGGGTTCTTGTAATTTTTTTTGTATCTGTATCTGTATCTGTATCTGTATCTGTATCTGTATCTGTATCTGTATCTGTATCTGTATCTGTATCTGTATCTGTAT